TAGCAGGAACTAATTAGCCCTAGACTGAGCCCTGCTCCAGTCCCAACTAACAAATCTTGAAGGAAAGACTTTAATGGATCAAACCATTGCCAAGTGAATTAACTGTACCTCAGAACAAATCTCAAGAAGATTTATAGAAATTCAAATACATTCAATACCTAACAAACTAATATTCACAATATCTGACATCAACCAAAGAAGATAAGCAGACCTGCAAAGAAGCAGGGAAAAAAATGACTATAATGAAAAGATATAAGTCAGTCAATTGAAACTGACCCAGAACTAATACAAATGATGGGCTAGCAAGCAAGGCTATCAAAGCAGTTACTAAAACTGTATTTCAAGTATTAAAAAGTTAAGTAGAAACATGTAAGTTTTTTTTTAAAGACTTAAATTGAACTTCTAGAGTTGAAAATCACAATGTATGAAATTAAAAATTCATTCAGTAGTCTTGATGGAATACTAAATATTGCAAAAACAGAAGAATAGTGAACACACACACATAAAACAAGGAAAACTATCCAAAATAAAACACAGATAGAAAAGAAAAATAAGTATAGAACAATCTAACTGTGGGAAAATTTCAAGTTCTGTAATATACATGTGATTTGAGTTCCCAAAAGAGCAGCAGGAACAGAAAAAAAATTAAATATTTGACCATCATTTAATGGTCAGGTTTTTCTAGATTTGTTGAAAACTGTACACCAAACGATCCAAAGAATCTCAGTAACATAAAGTAAGTCTGAACAAATTTAAAGGACACCAATAATACAAAATATGTTCTCAGGGCACCTGGTGGCTCAGTAGGTTAAGAAGCTGACTCTTGATTTTGGCTCAGGTCATGATCTCAGGGCTGTGAGATTGAGCCTTATGTCAGGCTCTGGGTTCAGCGCAGAGTCTGCCTCTCTCCTTCTCTCACTCTCACTACCCCTCTCCTGCCTCCTCTCTCAAATAAGTAAACAAATAACTCTTTTAAAAAATATGTTCTCTAACCACAGTTGAATTGAATTAATCAGTAACAGAAAGATCTATAGAAAATCCCCAAACAGGTGGAAACTAAATAAGGTACTTCTAAATAACTCATCAGTTGAAGACAAAATAAAAAGGAAAACTGGAAACTATTTTGAACTAAATCAAAATGACAAAAATATACCAAAATTTGCAAGATGCCACTAAGTAGTACTTATGGGTAATTTTATAGCACTACCCACCTATATTAGAAATGAAGAAAGATCTCAAGTCAATGACCTCTGCTTCCACTTTAAGAAACTTAAGAAGGAAAACCATATTAAATATAAAGTAAGCAGAAGAAATAATATCAGAATAGGAATCAGTGAAATAGAAAATAGAGAAATATAGAAAATCAATGAAACCAAATGCTGGTCCTTTAAGAAGATCAATAAAATTGATAAATCTCTACCATACCAGAAAAAAGGACATAAGACAAAATATGATAAAACTGATAAATCTCTACCATACCAGAAAAAAGGACATAAGACAAAATTTGCCAATATCAAGAATGAGAGAAGTGACAATATCTACAGATTCTGCAGATATTTAAAAGATAATAAAGGAATACAAACACAGTTTTAGGTCAATAATTTTGCCAATGGAGATAAAATGGACATATTACTTCAAAGACACAAATTGCCAAAGCTCACTCAGAAAAATACAGATCACTTCAATAGGTCCATACTATTAAAGTTACTGAATTTGTATTTTTAAATTTTCCCCCATGATAAAATCCCAAACTCAAATGCTTTCATAAGAGATTGTATTCTACCACCTATTTAAAAAATCCCTGAATATTGAAATTATGTCACCAAAAACATGATCCATAAAAGAACGAATTTGTAAGTTGGAATTTGTCAAAATTAAACAGGTTTGTTTTCTTAAAGACACAGTTAAGAGAATGAAAAAGACAAGCCACAAATGCAGAGAAATATTTACAAACTATTTATCAGATAAAGGTTTGTATCACAAAGTATGTAAAGAAGTGATGTATTGTACATTGGCTAATTGAATTTAAATAAAGAAAAAATAAATTAAAAAAATATGTAAAGAACTCCCAGAATTCTTAAATGAGAAAACAAATAAACAATAAGGGCAAAAGATTTAAGCAGACATTTCATCAGAGAAGATATTCAAGTGGCAAAGAAACACATAAAGAGATATTCAACACCATTAGTCACTGGAGAAATGCAAATTACAACCACAATGAGATACTACTACACTCCTTTAATAGTGGTTAAAAAAACAATAACTAAAAAAAAAATCCAAATCAAGTATCATCAAGAATGGGGAGGGACTGAGGATCTCATGTGCTGCTGGTAAGAATGTGTAACACTAAAACCACTCTGAAAATACCTTGACCATCTCTTAAGTTAAATGTACATCCACTGTATGATTCAGCCATTCAATCTGGTGATATTTGCCCAAAAGAATGGAAAGTGTATGTCTATAAAATGACCTGCACATGAAGGTTCATCAGTTTTATTTGTAATGGGCAGAAAACCAGGCAACAACCCAAATACACATCAAAAAGTGGCCAGATGAACAAACCGGCCTGTCCATATGATGGGCCACTCAGCAGAACAAGGCATGAACTACTGATACACACCTCACATGAACGAACCTCAAAATAGCTATTGAGTGAAAGAAGTCAGTCAGAAGCATACCCACCACATGGTTTCATTTATTCTATATTCCAGGAAATGTAAATGAAAGTATAGTGACAGAAAGCAGATCAGCTGTTTTGGGGGATGGGGAGAAGCAGTGTGAGGATAACAAAGGGGTGTGTGGAACCTTACAGGGATGATGCATATGTTTATTATCTTGGTCATGGTGATGGTTTCATAGATGTGCACACATGTTACATCAAGTTGAATACTTTAAATGTGTGTGCTTATTTTGTGGTCAATTATACTACAATAAAGCTGTTTTTAAAAATGTCCACTATATTTAAATTAAAAGAGCAATCTGGTGACAGATGAAGCTCTGGGCTATGATCAACCCCATGCCAAGGATCAAGAAGAGGAAATAAAATTATCTCTAGAAAAATCTTGTTGCCTGAAGTATAGTTTATCAAACTGTGTATGAGGGGAAGGCTGCCCTGCATGTAAGGACTATCAGAAATGGGAAATTTTCATTAATTGGTATTTTAAAATTGTAATCTGACTAAAATAATCTCCTCTCTCAAATATTCTCTGCATGCTCCTTACAAGCTTTCCACCATTGACCACTCCGTGGTTGAGAAAATCTCATCTCTCATCTCTCTCTGACTCACTGGGCCTGATCTGAAGTACAATGTGGCAGGCAAGGTGGGAGCCACAGATATGCCATCTCCCCAGAATAAGTCACAAGTTTTAATCTGCATAGTCAACTGAATTTTTGCTTGGAAAACACATCTAAATGGGATAATTCCCAACTGTTCCACATCAACAAGTGTAATTTAGCAAGGCCACAATCTGTCTAAAAATCTGGTAAGTGCATAGGCTAGAGTCTCTGCCAGTTCCATCATCCATTTTTAAAAAACACAATGAAATACTGAAGGACTGCACTCTGAAATTCCTCTGAATTGTAACACACTATATGTTCACGTTCCTTTGCTTGATTTAAGCCATATTTCTTGGTTATTCAAATAATAAAAATTGAAACATGATATACAATGAACTATAGAACTAAATAGCCAAGAATTTAGTGATGTTGGAAGAGTGCTGTCAGTTACCTGAAGTGTTAGAGTATTTCCTTGGTTTACCAGTGTTGTGAGTCTGCTGAGAACTCTCGCATACACAAAGGGCCAGGGGGCAGATGACATTTAACCTGACGTCCTGACAGTCCTCCAACTCGTGTCCACCTATAGTAGGCATGGACACTGATAGAAACCCACAGATAATGTGCCCAGGAATCTCAGGAATTCAAAATAAGTGATAACTAAATAAACAAATAAAGGCCCACTTTGAGATGCATTGGCTTAAATATAGAAAGAAGGAAAATGATACTCTTGTAAAACACTGTAATAAAATGTGCTAGTCACATACGGAGGTACCCGGTGGCATACTGGCAAATGTCTCTTAACGGCTGCGAAAACAAGGGAGCGTGCCCCTGGTTTGTGACATTTGCCAGTTGTTACGGTATAACTGCTCCCACCATGGCTGATTTCAAGCGGATTTCACTGAATGAAAAGTTGGGAAGAGACGCAAACGGACGGGATCTCCTGAGCTTAAGCATAAGCTGGTACAAACACCCAGTTGCAAAGATATTATGCACCCCCACAGCTAACTCCCATCTTACAAGAGAAGTAAACTCCTTTTCTAAGACAGACTTGTGTGTTTTATTCTTTGGGGGAAAATTTTCCATTCTGGAGCTATCTTTTAACCTGGGACAGTACATTTCCTTCAGGGGGGAAAAAAATCTTTACAATGTAGAAGACCTCATCCATCATAGAATATTTGCAACTTCTTAATACTGAGAAATGCAACAAATTTGCTTTTTCTTTAAACAGGAATCTTCATGTGTTCAAACTTAGTTTAAATTAAATGCTTATTGTGAGTCCCCAAAAAAGTGAAAAGAAAAGGAAACGAACAACGACAGGACATTTTAATACCAATTTTAAACAAAAATTAACCCAAGGCAACTTGTTAGTAGAGGGGGAAGGATGATTAGGATCTAGTCAAGTGTAGCTCCCACCACAGAATGTGCACGCCCCAGCTTGAAGCCGAGGTGTGGGTGTATGTTTGTATCTTGGTTTCAGGAAAGTAACATTTTGCGATAATAGGAATTTAGAAGGAGAAATCAAAAGCCACCTTTTTGTGGTGTTTTCCACAAAGAGAGATTTTCTTCAAGGTTTCACAATATAAGGAAACTAATGGAAGGAAATAAACTTATCCAACTGGAAGCTCAACAGAAGGAGGGAAAACCTGGGAAATGACAGCTCCAGCATTTGAACACAAGGGTCGCAAAGAAATAATAAAAGGAGTAACAAAAGAGCAGACATATACCCAAGTTCTGAGTCTGACTGCAGCTGGAGCACTGAGGGGTCTGTGTCCCACTGCAGGGTCCTAATCGTGCAGCACAAAGGAAAAAGAACACAGAGAATTAACAAAAGGGGAGGAAAACAAACCAAAGCAAACCATGTCATTCATCAAGGCAATGGCATATACAGTACATACACAGAACATCTCCCCACTCCCCCCGCCCCTCCATCCCCAGGTGCTAGGAAGACCCCATGAATATCAAGTGACAAAAGAAAGCGAGGAATCGTCCTTCCCTTTGAATGTCTGTTTGGTACTGGAAGCTGTGAGTGTTTTCACGGAGGGAAGCCCAGAGCTAACTACTCAAACTCTACATACCTCCTCACCCCTTTTTTGTTGTTTTGTTTTGTTCTGTTTTCTACTCAAGCTGGACTGATTTGAGAATGTAAACTGGTTCATGTTTCTCGGACACCCCAGAGCCCATCCACACCTGGGAGCACCAAGCATCTCCCATGGGGTGAAAAGAACCAAAGGCAAGGCGGCAAATGGGTGAGAGCCAGAGCGTCTGGGGGAGGTGGTCAGGCCAGGTGGAGCCTGCCATCAGGTTCCCCTATTCAAATTCTGTTTTCTTCAGGTCCGTTACTGCAAGAACAACGCACTGGATTTTGAGGCTCATGGGTATTTTGATGTTTTTTTATTTATATATTACACTGAGATGATCACTGATAACATTTGTCTCAAGATGCCGGGGGTCTCTTACATTGTTTAAATATTTCACAAGAGACAACACAAAGTCTCACCAGTTAGCAAGGCATTCAGTTTTCCATGTTATTTCTCCTTCAAAATAAAGGGGGATAAAGCAGCTCTTCTATAAACAGAGTGCATATAGGAAGCTGTCCCGAACCCTGTCCCCTCCGCTTCATCTCAGCAAGGCCCATGGGCCAGGATCCCCAGCCTCTCCTGGAGCTTGTCAGAAGCGCGGGTTACAGGCTCACCGCAGACTCACCGCAGACTCGCTGACTGCACACGGCGGTTCAGCAAAGTCCTGGCCATCTGCAGGCACCCTGAAGTTTGAGAAGCCCTCCTCGTCTTCCTTGTCTGTGAAGACCTACCATGGCTTATGAGACAATTCAATTTTAGGCTGACCTGACCTGTGGCCATCTTCCAAACTTACGTTTAACCACGGCTCTCCTCCCTCCCTGTGTCCTGTTGGATGTCCTGCCCCCCTAAGAGTGTCTGTGTGTCTTCCGTCAAATGCCATCTGCTCAGAGAGACTTTCCTCCCCTCACTACTTTGTAGCACTTCCTTCATCCCCTCCCCTTACACCGCTTTCCTTTCTTCATAACACCTGTGGTTTTTTGTATTATACATCCATTTATGTACTACCGTTTGCTGTTTGATCCAGATTTGAGCCTCATAATGGGGGTGGGGGTATCCCTAGATTACAGAGATGCACCTAGAAAAGTACCCGGCATCCACACTTACATAACACAGTAGTCGTTCAACGCATGGATGAATGGATGGATAGATGGATGGTCTTTCTCTGATTTTCTACGGGGATAACACGCAGTTATACCTACAAAGCTCCAAGCAACTATTTGATAAACAGAAGCTTTTCGGGATGCCTGGGTGGCTCAGCTGGTTAGGGGTCGGTTTTCGGTTCAGGTCAAGATCCCAGGGTTCTAGGATCAGCGGGGAGCCTGCTTCTCCCTCTGCCTGCCATTCCCCTGCTTGTGCCTGTGCCTTCTCTCTTTCTGACATAAAATAAAATAAAAATCTCAAAAAAAAAAAAGTAGCTTTATTTCTTACTACCATGTTCACCCCTTATCTACTATTGAAATTTCTCTGAGTCAAACCCTACGTGTGTGACAGATGCCATTTAAGTTCCTCTTCCTGAGGCAGCAGAATGCAGGTCACAGCTGCCCTTACCAGCTCTAGCTGTGCTCCTATCCTCTTAGGAACGTTCCGAAACCTGACAACTCAAGTCCAGAGAGAACACTAACCTGCCGCTACTCCTTAGACCCGCGCTTCTCAAATCTCAGTTCACACACACGTACTTGGGAACACCGTCTGAGCATGCAGATTCTGGTTTAGTAGGTCTGCGACAGCTCTCACAGGCTCCAGGGATTATAGATGTTGCCAGTCTGCAGACCACACTTGGAGTAGCAAGGTCTTGACTTAGATCAGTGGTTCTCAAACTCTGACAGGGATCAGAATGATGTTGAGGGCTTATGCTAAAATATGGAACGCTGATCTCCAACCCCAGAAATTCTGATCCAGTAGGGCAAGGGTGCATTTGTACTCTAACAAGTTTCCAGGTAAGGCTTATAGCTGATCCTGGAGCCACGTTTGCAGAATGACTGGGCCAGACTAGTGCTTTCCTTAGTCAGCAAGAGACAGCGTCACTGATCCTCAAATATGTCAGCCTCTAAACCCATGATTAACTCAAGCCTGGCCTAAGGCCCAGGCCCCTTTCAGACCAATTACATCAGAATGTGCAGAGTGAGACCCAAGCATCTGTATTTCGTTAAATTCTCCAGGTGATTCTAAATGTGCAGCCAAGGGTGAGGACCCCTGCTCCTGACTCTTTCTCTGCTCAAAGAAAGCAAGGCCTTCCAGGTTCTGGGCACGGATTCCTTCCCCTTGTTGGCGAATGTAATGGTTATAAATAGTGGAAGTAACAGACTCCATTACAGTGATTCATGGCGGCTGTTCACACGTCCCTGGGGATCAAACCTCTCATCTTTAAGGGCATTTCTTTGGCTATAGACAGAGCAGCAACCTCTGACTCCAGCTGGCTGTGAGGAGCATTCCCCTGTAAGGGGTGGGGTCAGCTACTTTGCCCTCAATTTGCCTGGAGGTTTCGGATGGGATGACCTTGTTTGACCTTTTCCACTTCTGCCAGGCAGGTGAAGAATGCAGCCGCTCCCAGGAGGTCTGGCTGTCCTGTTACTTATCGGACAGCTCATCCGAACTCACTGTATGTATGCTTAAGAAGTAAAAATGATGATTCCATCAGAATCCCTCACTTAAGGAGTCGACAGATCAGCAGTCCGAGGTTGGCATTGATTCAGGCAGAGCAACCAAGGTGGTCTCTGTAACCGACCCACCGCAGTCCTGCCCCCCCAGTCACACATGTATTATTCGGTGAAAGAAATAGTCATCATCAGCAATGAGCAGCGAGGTAAGGTGTCAAGCCAACGATGCAATCAAGTATGCTAGTTTTATCGTCTTCTCATTCTTCCCGTTGTTATCTGTGGGGTGGTCAGGCTTGTACAGAACGCACTTTCTCTTAGAAAAAGCACTTAAAGCCAATACATCAAATGGGCAAATGTTGTTTGTGTCTCAAGGGTCACCTTTAAATGTGTATTGAATGTTTGCTGAATTCCTTCTGTGCAAGCTTGCAGAGAAACTTCCCTATGGATGGCAGGACCTTGGACAGGACCCCACCTGTTCCGGGAGGTGAGAGGAAGGCATTTGGGCTCGGCTCCACTGTGTGTCCTGAGGAAAGTCTCTGACCTCAGCAAAAGGAGGAGGCAGCCCAGAGACCCTTTAAAGCTTTTTTTCTGCCTCATATTTGAAAATATCAGATGATGATTAAACTGCCTTTCAGTTCTTTCTTCTCCAATTGGTATACTTTTATAACCAATCGACATACACCTTAACTTCCCAAACATCTTAGTATCAAGCTAGTGTATCACTGAAAATAAAATGATGGTTTCCCCTACACCTTCTTGGGCAATTTGAAATCATGCCAGATGGTTTTTTTTTTTAATGAAAGGAGTGAAATCATAAGTAAATAAACATAAGTGAACATAACATATTCCCACAAAATATTTTCATATAGAAATCACCCTATTTACCATAGTAATCAGTTCTCATTTTCAGTCATTTCTGGAATGGACCAATCAGTGCAGGCAGGGAGAGAATATTTTTGATAAGGGCATTCATTTACTTATTCAATAAATATCTATTAAAGACCTAATAGGCAAAATACTGTGATAGAGGATGAAAAGAATTCTAAGGAAACTACAACTCTTATCAAGAGATAAAAAATATGTATAAATAATTTAGCAGAACACAGCAGAAAATAAAACATACACAGGTGTGCTCTGGGAAAGCAGTATACCAGTGGGCACTTAAGAATCTTACATTTTACTGAAGTAATGAGACGTATGAATATTTATATGTAATGATATGGGGATAACCAGTACAAAAAGGAAATAGTTGTCATTACTTGCCCAGGGCCTGGCACAGTTTAAAGTTTCAATAAATGTTAGCTGAAAAAAAAAATAAACAAATGCTATAAGAACGATTAATAATAACAATAGCTATCATTTCCTTTCGATGAATGTGTACTCTGTGCCGGCCAGCCAGGCCCTGGACTGTACTTTGATCATCCATGGAAGCCACAGCAGGGAAACCCCCTCCCTCTGAAAAGATCAGAGATTCCATGCAACCTGGTTTTGGAAGGCTGGGGTGAGGATCTGGACATAAACTCATTTTCATCCAGGCCTGGTTTGGTGGACTTCAGCCGCTGAGTTGGTTTCCTGGGTCTAATTAAGAGTCTGCTATGTTTTAGACATCAGTTTACCAACTTATCATGAGAACAGTAACTGCCAGGGAGAGCACTTATACACGCCCGATAAAGCCTTCTCTCCTTGAAGGCCAGTTCCTGGGAAGCCCGAAGACCAGCAGGGTCCTTGGGATTGGAGAAAGTGCATCTGAATGTTTTTACTCCTACAGCTTGGCCTTGCCCTACCACCGATCATGTCCACCTCCTTCCACAGGACCAGATGTAGCCCCATATTATCAGTCTCCCCTACCCCCATCCCGTTACTGGGATGCCCAACTAAACACTTTCTGATTGACATCATCTTCGTTTAAGTACATCAGTTAGATTTTGTTTGCTGTTCCTACATGGAAAATCATCCTGGTGTTATTTGCTTATTTTTAAGTGCTGCATTTGTCTGTACTCATCAGTTTTAGGTTATTTCTTAGGTTAACTCTCTGACGATCTAAGGGACGATTTCTGATATTGCACAGGGAAACTGCTGTTTGTACAGATCTTGGATAACCCAATAATT